GAGGATTAGTAAAATATGCATAAATAATAAGAAAGAATGCAGACAGGTACGTTTAAGATAGGAGAGAGGAGTTTATCAATGATGTGTTATTGGTTGTGAGCATATTCTGATGGAGTATTGAAATATATACAGTTCTGTTTCATGAGTGTTGAGAGCTGTATCCATACATCTCAGATTGATGCTTTAATTTCAATTTAAAGACACAAATCTTCTCCTCATTATATACACTACACATTTGTCTTGGATTTGTTAACAACATAGTCCCTAATATATTTGTAGAAAGGCAGGAAATGGAATTAAATCGAGAAAAATGTTTCATTGCCGAGGACCCCCTGGTTTTGTGTTCCCCCCCCACTTCTCAAACCAAAGTTACACCCTTGCATAGTACAGTTAAAATATAATACAGTTTAATTAATGTTGGTTGCTTAATATTTTTGCACCATATGAGAAGAAGCTAATGACAATAAAGCCTTGAAAGTTGAAAAATCAACACAGTTGAACCACATCATAGATACGTTATGAACGCACGTCTCTTTCACCTTCCCATTGTCAACACATCCCAACATTTCAACAAGTCCTGAAATGTAACCGAATGATTAATTATCACATAACTCACCCAGTGGGGGTCCGGACGGCACCATGCCCTTGAGCTCAGCTTTGACCACAGGGGGAGCGCTCTTCAGTTTGGAGGCGGCGTGGTCGATGAAGAGCTGCACGGTCACATCGTCCAGCGAAGGGAACGGAGTTTGACTCAGAGAGCTGCTCTGGCTGCTCTCTGACGGACGCTGGACTTTGTGCATCGCTACAGCGGGGTAAGGATTCTCCTGGAGAGAGAGAGGGGGAGGGAGAAGGAGTAAATAAGGGGAGGAAGGGGAGAAGTGGTGAGTGTCAGGAAAACAAAGAAGCTACTGAAATAAAGAAATCTGAGCTAAATGAGACAAGAAGCTGTCCAGGGTTCCTGCAGGTTTCACCGACTCAAATGTAACCCTCCTATTGTCTTCGTTCCCCCCCCCCCCTTACTTTGGTGTTCGCGGTCAAATTTGACCGGTCCTGTTTTAACTGCTATTACATTAACACAAAAAACATTAATCATCACCAAATTTCATTTAACACCCTTTCAAACTGTACATATTGTATCAGACTACTGGTATACATGAAAAACTGCAGTTAATATACAAAGAATAGACACTGAACATGTATTGTTTGTGCCAGGTGTGATCCATGTGGGGGGATGGGCACATAAGAGCGGGACATGTGTCAAATTGTTCTGTGTGTGTGTGTGTGTGTGTGTGTGTGTGTGTGTGTGTGTGTGTGTGTGTGTGTGTGTGTGTGTGTGTGTGTGTGTGTGTGTGTGTGTGTGTGTGTGTGTGTGTGTGTGTGTGTGTGTGTGTGTGTGTGTGTGTTTTATCTGATCCGGATGGTTACTAATTCCTTTTCTTTATGGCGGTCATGTGACCGGGAACACCATGGGTGTTACAAAGTTGACTAAATCATCCAAAATTCAATGAAAGTGGTGATCAGCCATTTTATATGTTCAAATGTCTGTGAAGGATATCATAAAGCCTTAATGCAATCGAATGTAAAACAAAAAAGTTATGATTGATGAAAGTAGTAAATCGGTCAGATTTGACCCGAAGACAACAGGAGGGTTAAGACTTTTTAAGACCTTTTTAAGACCACTTTGAATAGAATTTAAGACCTATTTCACGGCACGAAAGTATGAAGGAAACTTGCTATGAAAGAAGAAATATGTCCCATAATTACTTACAAAGTAAATGTATTCACGTTCAACATAAGAACGATGACTGAACATAACAGTAAACAGAACTGTGTTAGCGTGTTAGACTTATGAGAGATGAGGGGAGAAAATCACCGCTTTTTTCAATTTGTACCTTTTTGTATACGTTATACATGTTTTTTATATAGCAAATATCTGTTATTCTTTATAAAAACCTCATAATTTATATATATAACTTTGTATCTCAGCTCTTTGTAGTGTGGATTTAGCTTTCTCAATAAAGATTATCGTAATTATTAAAGGATAAATGGCGAAAAACAGAAGTCTCACAGCAGGACTCACAGGAAACCCTCAATAACAATATAATAAGTATTCCTTATAAAATGCTTGCTTTGTTTTGTGTTTTTCTATCATACATTTTTGAAGAGCAGCTCGGCCAGCTCCCTGACGTGGTTCAGGACTTTCTGCGGACACGTCTCCTCCTGTCGTATCCGCTCAACATGATTGGCTACCAGCTGTGGAAAAAAAGCAACATGTCAACCTTTTAATATCCGACCCACGTGTGTTTAATTAAAAAGCTCCATCTGAGCCCAGTGTGCGGACAGACTCACGTCGTCGAACAGGTCCGTGGCTCGGTAAGGAGGACCTCTCTCCGACACGAAGCCGGCGAACGCCATGCCGTCCAACACCTTCATCAGGAAGTCGTCCTCCGTCAGCGACCTCTGACCCAGGAAGGCAGCCTGAGGACACAGTAACACTGATGTGATGAGGCACTGAGCTGTCTCTGAACCCCTTTAAGACCCTTTTATGCACCAAATATCTGGAACAAACTCCCAGAAACCTGCAGGTCCGATGCGACTCTGACTACTTTTAAATCCAGGCTGAAGACTTTTCTTTTTTCCGCTGCTTTGAATTGATATATTCACATCTTACACTGCACTGTAACTTTTATCCATGTATGTTTTTTAATGTTTATTTTATTATCTTTGCTGTTTAATGACTGTTTTTAAATGCCATTTTCTTAATGTCTTTCATTTTTGTAAAGCACTTTGAATTGCCATGTGTTGAAAGGTGCTATATAAATAAACTTGCCTTGCCTTTCACACATGTAATACAACGCTTCATTTATTTACATTACTCGGAGGATATGTACCTCAGAACGCAAAGTCCAAATGAGATTAATCGGGTCTAAATATTGTCTCATGTCCTTCCCTATGCATGAAAAGAGCCCCTTATTGTCAAGCAAAGGAGCGCATTGGTGATGTTTTTTTTATCGTGGCTGACATGAAATGTAAAGAAAACAGACATCTGAAGGTGAAGTTAAGAAAATGTACATCTAAAAAAACAACAAAAGGAGGGACTGGAACTTGTTTTGGTAAAGATGACAGCAAAATCCTTAGAGAAATAATCAATAAAGGGCCGTAGACTAAGTTTTGTACGTGCCTAACCAATCAGAGCATGAACACTTCGGACCAAGACATAATTCTCCAGACTTTGTTTGGATTTAAAAACGTCTCCACAGTGTCTTTTGAAGAAGACACAGATTATTATTGGGAGTTGTTACAACACGCAGTTTTCTTTACGGACCTTATGGAAGCGGATCACGGGCTCTGGGTGGATGCGGATGATGTGTAAACACCAGCGGTAGCCCTGGAAGAGCCGAGCGAACAGCCACAGGAAAACCCCTCGGATCTCCTTATCCTGAAACACACAGTCAAATTAGGACACACACACACACACACACACACACACACACACACACACACACACACACACACACACACACACACACACACACACACACACACACACACACACACACACACACACACACACACACACACACACACACACACACACACACACACACACACACACACCACACACACACACACACACACACACACACACACACAACACACACACACAACACACACACACACACACACACACACACACACACACACACACACACACACACACACACACACACACACACACACACACACACACACACACACACACACACACACACACACACACACACACACACACACACACACACACACACACACCAGCAGCAGCAGAGGGGTTTTCTTACCTGGATCTTGAGGGCGGAGGGTTGCGTGGAGAGGGGGGGGGAAGGCCTGATCAGCGATTTCCAGCTCTGGATCCAAAACCTACAATAAAAAAACAAAAAGCCTCAATCAATAACCATCTCACTGCCTGAAGCTTGATCCTGCTGGATTGTGGATAAATGAGAGAAGTTTTGTGGCAAAAGAGACATTTATTTGCCACATTTTTGGAGCAAGCATCACAACTATCGCTTTTTAACTTCTCCATACATGTACTTAAAGGTGGGGTAGGTAAGTTTGAGAAACCGGCTCGAGATACACTTTTTGTTATATTCCATGGAATGCTCTTAACATCCCGATAGCAATGAATATCTGAAGTGCTTTGACAAGAAATCCATAAAAAAAATGTCATCTGTGGAAGCTGTAGTACACAACCTTATCTCGTGCCCTCATTGGTCATGTGCGCGTTCGTGTGTTGGAGGAGGGGCTCTGTGAGGAAGTGGCAGATTTTTTCCGGCTGTGTATTTTCAAATTCTAGCACACTCAAGCTGGTTTCTCCAAAATGACCTACCCCACCTTTAAAGAAAACCCTTTCTATACCACCAATACACTTCATTTTCAGACACTAATGAACACAAACATTTACTCAACTATGACAATCATAAAGCAATGATCTTGGATTATTCAATGTAGTTTATCTGTGCCTTCTGAGGCCTTTTTCGTTGCACAATAACATGATGAAATGTGTATTTTTAATAAACTGAAATAGTTGTTCTTATTGACAGATTGGGGTTATTGTATTGTCTTCTTAAAAAGGCACAGTCCAGACTGACCCACTGTGGATATGTCCAGAACACCATCACGTAATAATACCTTGGAAACAGCCTTTGGTCTGAGGACGTTACATACAAATTAATTCACTTAAAGTGTAAGGAGGCGCAGAGGCTAAGCCCTGACTCTCGGTTGCTGCCCGACAATCTGCAACATCATCGATCAAACTACCTTCCCCCAAACCAGACCTCGATGTTTCAGGTAATTCAATTAAAGACTGGCTGCTCCACAAAACCCCCTGATCAGTTTTACAGTTATCTCTCAGTATCGTTCCAGTAAAGAGAGATCAGTCTGACAGATGTGAGGCTATTACCAAGGATATTTTGGGGTTTGTTTGAAATCACCAGTAAACCTTTCTTTTTGTCGCGTAACTACAAAACAACAGTGTCCAGGTTATAAGTGATAAAGCATAATGAGCAACCAGTGATAGAAAATAGTGTGTGTGTGTGTGTGTGTGTGTGAGTGTGTGTGTGTGTGTGTGTGTGTGTGAGTGTGTGTGTGTGTGTCCTAGCATTACTATACTTGTGGGGACCTAAATCTGTTTACACAGTCACGTGTGGGGACTCGCCTCCCTTATGGGGACATAATGGAGGTCCCCATGAGGGGAATCATTAATTTTAGGGTGAAGACTTGGTCAGGGTAAGGGTTAGGCATGTGTTGGTTATGGTTAAGGTTAGGATAAGTCTCCAGGAAATGCATGAAAGTCAATGTAATGTCCCCTGAAGTGATGTATACATGGTATGTGTGTGTGTGTGTGTGTGTGTGTGTGTGTGTGTGTGTGTGTGTGTGTGTGTGTGTGTGTGTGTGTGTGTGTGTGTGTGCTGATCCAACAAGGTGAGATGCAGAATGATGCATTATGGGTCATTACATACAAACTCATCAATAATTCCAGGTTCATGTCATGGATTTTTTGTGAAAACGTTAGAAATAAATCAAAAATCAAATTTTTTTTTTCACTGGATTTGGTTGAGATGTGTAGTGAACATACGTGTAAACCCTTACGATAATTTGCAACATGTATTTATGTAAAAAGAGCCTTTTATGCAACTGTAGAACTTATTGTAGCTTTTTTTACTCGATGTTTTGAAAGACAGACTGTCATTTCAGCTTTGAGTAAAGTAGTAAAGTAACAAAGAAAAGGACATTTATTTTACCACAGATATTTCAAATATGACGATAGTCCGTGGGAAGAGCCCGTCTGATTCCCAAACTTCAGGCTCCTCGCAGCATCCAAACACAAACATGGCCGTGATGCCAGCTTCTGCCTCTCCCAAAATAAACACATCCCACCCTCGGTGATGAACTCCAACTTTGAGCAACCAGCAGAGGGAAAACCATCCCTCGCTTTGGGCCAACGGCTTACCAGAAACACATGAAGTAATCACATCAAAATGAATCATCGTGTTTTAAACGTGACGATGACAATAGGAGCAAACAAAGGCTATCCAGGAAGGAGTGACTCGACGTTGTAAACACACGTGAGAAGGATTTTCCCAAAACTGCAATCGAGAAGCAATCCACTGCTGTATGAGATGTTTGTCCTGATGTCATGTTTGTTTAAAAGATTGAGCTTCTGCGTGTATTTCTGTACTCATTTGTGGAGTTTTTTATTATTTCATAGTATTTTTTACCATGTGTGTCCATCACTTTGTTCCAGAACAACATCAACAACTACTGTCTGTATGTTAGCATGCTATAATGTTAGCATTTCCCTGAAGTACATCCTCCCAAAGCTGCTAGCGTGGCGGTGGACTTTATGTCTGGTTTTCTGTTAATCAGAGCTATAAAATTAAATTCCCATCCTCACACATTATCCAATACATGATGATAAAAACAACAGAGGTTAAGAGGGTGTGAATACTTTTTATAAGCGCTGTATAACTCAATAAACTGACTATTATCTTTACTAGTGGGTGCAGCATGTGAGCTGGCAGTGGATGGCGGAGGCGTGTGGTGCAGTGGGTTGTGCGTTGGTGTTCGGATCAAGGGAGCACAGGTTCAAACTCCACTGCAGTCAGCATGTCGTTGTGTCCCTGAAGACACTTCACCCCAAATTGCTCCTGTGGGGATTGCCCACAGTATTGAGTATGTAAGTCGCTTTGGATAAAAGCGTCTAACAAGTGACATGTAATGTAATGGATAGCAATGCTAATTTAATAGTTATAATATCATAAGTTCAAATCAGGGAGAACATTTGAAAAAAAATTGCTTAAATTTATTTTTTTAAAACATTAAAATAATAAAAATAAAAATTAATTCAACAGGCGGCTTTACAATTACATTAGTTAAAGTGTATCAGAGACATTTCCTCAAAAAATATAAAGTGTTCGAGACTTTCGCAGAGGAAATTCATTGTACTGTAGTTATAATATCCAGGGTTCATACACTTTTTCACCAATGATTTTCAATGACTTTTCCATGACTTCTCCATGACCTTTACCTAATTTTCCATGACCAAAAACATTACTCTTTCTCAGCGGTACCACTGAAAATTGTTTATTTTAACATGGAACAGAAAAATAAGGTCTGCATATGAAACATGTTGTGCCCATCTAAAACAAATCCAATAGTAGGCTTACTAGCTTCTACACGCTAAAGCAACTAAAATCTCTCACCAGCAAAATACCTCGTCAGTTAAATGCCATTTTACGTTTCATTACTATACGATACAGTATTTATTATCATTATAGTATTACTATTTCGGCGATTAGCTAAAATATAAATTATATTTGATGCAACTTTAGTTATATTTCCATGACTTTTCCAAAACTTTGGGAAAAAATATTGTTTTCCATAACTTTTCCAAGGCCTGGAATTAGTATTGTGAATTTCCATGACTTTTCCAGGTTTTTAATGACCGTAAGAACCCTGAATATCATAATAAGTTCAAATCAAGGAGAACATTTGAAAATAAATGGCTTAAAAGATTATAAAAACATGAAAGGCTGCGGTTTAAATTCCAAATAATGAAAATAAATACAACATTTGAAAAGGCAGCTTGGATGAAATGATGATAGGTAAAGTGTATCAGTCATCAATCATTATAAAGTGTTCCAGACACTCGGAGAGGAAATTCATCGTACTATCCCGTTATATGTTTTTAATTGGACTGCAAACATAACAATCCGCAGCGTATCCAGTAACATGATCATAAACCAATGACAGTAACACCCGCCATGTGTTACCAAGCAGAAGCAACAAAGGGGAAGGCAGGAAAGAAATGCATGCATTCTGCTAATATCAATTAGAGAATAATGAAGCTGAGAAATCCTTTGTTTACATTCTGATAAAAAAGCATTTCTCAGAATGGGCCGGCACTGTGATATGACTGGCATTGTTTGATATGAACACAATGGTGCAATGCAGGAAAAGGACCTGATAGGACAGGCTTACTATAACTGTGTAACAAATCACCTCCGGCTGGCAGAGAAACAGCTCCATAGTTCATCTTTTGTTAACTGGACTTATAACTCATAATTTGACATTTATATTTAATTTAATATGCCATTTCTTGCACACTTAATGTCAATAATACCCTACTTTTATATTTTGTTAGCTGTAAATTGGCCCTTCAATAGTGTTTTATGTGTCAGTTTAATCAACTTGTATATTTTCTACTTTTTAGTTCCGTTTTATGTGCAATGCCTTGTTTTTCATGCTGCTGTAACGAAAACATTTCCCCAGTTGGGATAAATAAAGTATATCTTATCTTATCTTACTGTGTGTGAGGGGAATAGGATTTTAATGACAGCCTCGTGCAACTAAAATAACAAATGACTCAACTGAAACTGTCATTATTATATGTGAAGTAAAATGATTTAACGTGCCGTAAAAACAAGAAGCGCTTCCTGATTGCACGTAAACTACGGTGTGATAAGAACAGGAATAGCTGGTTTGGAGTTCCCAGATGACTCAAGGCTGTAAGTGCTGAGTCGGCCCGGCTAAAATAACTGGATGGCCTACCTGCCTGTCAGCCTTCCATCTTGTGCACAAACTTATCTCGTGCCCTCCCTCATTGGTCATGTGCGCGTTCGTGTGTGTTGGAGGAGGGGCTCTGTAAGGAAGTCTGAAGGAAGGGGCAGATTTTTTTTCGGCTGCGTACTTTCAAATTCTAGCGCACTCGAGCTGGGACTTCCCAGTAGTCAGTAGCAGTGTGTGTTATATGTGATTTATCTCACTGATATCATTGTCCATGTTTTACTGTATTGTTATTTTTGTATTTTTTTAATTGTTTCATCTTGTTCTCTATTTATTTTAATATTGTTGTTACGTTTTCTTCTTGTTCTGTAAAGCACTTTGGGCTGCAAATAAAGTTTATTATATATATTATTATTATGTGTGTGTTATGTGTGTGTGTTCAGAGCTCTTACCATGGAGAGCACAGTCTGGGTCTGCTGGAGGATGGGCTCCGGCAGCAGCGAGATGTGGACACACTCTGGGATCGTCACCGTGCCGCCATCCAGGTCAGCGATGATCACGTCCAACTGAAAACACACACACACTTTTAATCTCTGCCCAAAGGAAGACCGTTGATACGAGTACGGCAGCATGATTACTGACAAAACACAGAGAGAGACAGCCGCTCATTACAGGACGCTCGCCAGGATGCTCGCCATCACACACACACACACACACACACACACACACACACACACACACACACACACACACACACACACACACACACACACACACACACACACACACACACACACACACACACACACACACACACACACACACACACACACACACACACACACACACACACACACACACACACACACACACACACACACACACACACACACACACACACACACACACACACACACACACACACACACACACACACACACACACACACACACACACACACACACACACACACAATAACCTCTGACCCCTGACCCGTAAAGGACATGTGACGGCTGAATGAAACACAGCGGCTCGTTGTGATGTCGGACAATGGCTCCGTCAGCGCGGCAGATACAGTGTCCGACAGGAGGGTTCATTACACTTTCATCAAGCTTTAATAAGACAACAGCAGTTAGTGTCTTTGATCATGAGATCCAGAGACAGTGATTTCTGTCATGTACACATAGGTATCATTTCTCTTGGCACGGTGTGTAACAGAGCGTTGTGTCAGAATTGGTAGCAGAAAGGCCAGATGAGCATATTATTAAAAGACGGATGAAGCGTTGCTTAACGGGTCAGCGAGAGTTTACATGAAACGTTATCTTCAACGTAATTAAAACTCAGATCATCCGTAGGGTAGATTATCGTGTCCTCTCCGTCTGATTATAAAAAGCTATTCCCGTCCTTTTTTGAAAATATAAAACTATTCATTCAACTTTTGACACCATGAGTGCTTTATTTAAATCACATTGTATGTGTCGCAGCTGGAAAAGGGCAGACAGTGCCTGCTGTGATGATTAATGACTGAAAATCGATGTAACCCCAATGTAGGAAATGTAGGAAATATGTTTGTTATAACCTTTAACTGGATGTTTTTTTATTATAAATTAAATATCCCTAATGTAGGACTTTAAGCTGTGTGACGACTAGGGATGGGTACCGTTAAGGTTTTAACGGTACTACTACTTTTATCGATACCGCTTATCGACCCGGTCTTTTAACGGTACTCTTATCGGTTCTTTTGGAAGAAAGAAATAAGGTTAATTAACTAAACAAATTGTGAACAAAACTAACATTGCTTTTTATTTAAATGAAATACATAATATTTCACATCAAAAGAAACAACAATGTTGTAACAAATCTTATTAAATAATCTGATGACAGAACTGTAAACAGAATAGCTGAAACTTTAACTAAATAAATAACTCAGTTCCCTCTAATCATTAACCCATGTTTGTATCATTGAGTTAGCTCCGTGTGTTGCTGCTAGCATACATAACACCTGACGTGGAAAGGTTACTCGTGGATGGGGCTGCAGAGCTACTAGAAAGACAGTCGAACCCGGTGCATTTCTCCGTCTGAATGTGGAGCACTTTTGATAAATGTTTAGACAAATTGCTCGTGTTACCGCCCTTACATGCTAAACTCTTATTGCACTTTTGGTAACGAGCATTGTCCACATCGAGACGAAGTTTAACCACACCTCGGAGCGCGTTCTCTCCACCATCTCCTCCGTGTGTGTGTGTGTGTGTGTGTGTGTGTGTGTGTGTGTGTGTGTGTGTGTGTGTGTGTGTGTTGCTGCATGTAGCAGCTGTGTGTGTAAACCGCCCCGCCCCCTCGCACACAGACGGGGGAGAGAGATCTCTCGTCTGGATTGGAAAGATCGAAAATACATCATAGACGCATTTTTTTTGTGTGCATATTAGATAACGGAGTTGGCGACACTAAAACTGCAATATAATGTTTGTGTAGCAATAATACATATCATATATCTTTTACATGTCTCCAGTACCGATAAAAAGACCGATAACATCGGAGCTTAACGGTACCACGGTCTTTAATAATTCAGCCCCGGGGCCCGTTTAATACCGGGGCTCGGTACCCATCCCTAGTGACGACACTAAACATGTTGATTTGAAAAGGATAAGCGCCCATGAGACTATGAGATAATATAATATAATAATAACCATGTACATTAAGGAGTGAACATGTGGGTGTCTCGGCAGGATGCATTTTCCACACGAGTTACATTTGTCTTATACACATTCAAAGTATTATTACAGCATTTGTGTATCACGTCGTAGAGATAGGAACTCACCAGCTCTTGTGTCTCCAAGCGAAAGACGGAGTTGACCCCGATGATGAAGGGGGTCGGGGTGCTCAGGACTTCTAGAAGTTTCCCCGGCAGGATGGGAACGTAGGTGAAGCTGAGAGGGAAGCAAACAGAAAGAGATTCAGCACCTGACGCTGAATGGACCGTCTGGCACTAATGTACATTTCCCAAAGATACTGAAGTGACTGTTATTTTGTATATATTGATTGTTGTGCTTTTATTTATGTCTTAATGTGTGCATATGTATAAATTAGGGATGGGAAAAAAACGGTTAACCGATTAACCGAAATGTACATATCATATAAAAACATTTTTAAATGTTAAGTTTTAATAATAAATACATTTTAGTTTGTTGGGTAGGACTCTCCGTTAGAGTGTAACGTTACACATGTTTTTTTTTTTTATATTTTGAATGGCACTATCGTATACATTTGATTAATCCATTTGATAATATGTAATCAATTTCGGCACCCCTCCCATAACAAAATTGTTTACAATAGAAAGATTCATAACTCATATTCGAATACCTGAATCATTTTGAATATTCGATTAATCATTCCCATCCCTAGTATAAATGTGTCTGTACATACATAGGTATATACATATTTGTATATATTTGTATTCGGGATTGTGGGAAACAGTATTTTGATCTCTCCGTCTGTACACACAAACTGAAAGATAGACAATAAAGTTGACTTTGACTCTGCTCTACCACAAAGAGATACAGGTGTCCTGAAATCAGTGCAGTTTCGTAATTATCAACTGCACTGATAAATAAATACATGTACAATAACTTACTTATTATGTTTTATAAGCATACTGTTCAATGTATCATAGGTCAAATTTATAGTCACTCTATATATGATATATTAAACATTTTTAGCTTGTATTGTCAAAATGATACTTATACTGTCTGTTATGCAGGGGCGGACTGGCCAGTGGGCCGGTCGGGAGTCCCGGGCTGATTTTTAGTCCCAGTCCGCCCCTGCTGTTATGTGTGATTGCACCGTCGGGAATGCTTGGAATTTCTCTATACTCTGTGACGTGACAATAAAGGAATCTAATCTAATCTGAAGTACCTGTATTTGAGGGGGAACATGATGGCCAGCAGCCCCCTGCAGGCGTCCGTCAGCCTCTGGTAGCTGCTGGACAGAAACAGGATCTTATGCTCCGTCAGCGCGGCGCAGAACAGATACAAAACGTTCACGATGCCTGAAGGGAACAGGAGAGGGGACAGGAGAGGCGTTACAGGGAGGGAAGGACACAACAAATACATTCACACACTGAGCAAAACTCTGCTTCTCAGACTGGATTTTAAACGAACGTCCCTTGTTTGATTTTTTGATGGCACCTTAAACAAAAAAAGGAGTAGCTCTACTACTCAATAAGGGATTCTATTCTATTCTAAACTCTGATTGATGTTGTGTCCCTAAATGTTGTTTTATTGATTGTTTTTTTTACCTCTGTTCAGTGTCTTTGAGCACCCGATGAAGCGCATGATAAATGAAACGGTTATTATTATCACATTAATAAGGTTTCCTACGTCAATCACTTTTACTGTCCTCAATAAAAACAATATTCTTATAAACAATATTTGTGAATTTAAGAATGTCCCCAACATGATGCTAGTATAAACAGTACATTGATTCCTACCATTGGAAGACTTAGGCATTTCACACTGTTTACAAAGCAAAAGATTGACATTATTTATTATTTGTTGTGTGTTTTTATTTGATTTATGTTTTATTCATCAAGGATATTTCAATGTTTTTTGTTAATTATTAATTATTAAGTAAATTGCGCTTTGAAAAGGTTTATTTGCATTATTTTTGTCATATGTATCTTATTATCAGTGGCATAAAATGATCTTTAATTGACAATTTCCCAATGTTTTCTAGGTCAATATGCAGGTAGAACATCACGAGGTTTTGTCGGTGGTTTGAATGTCTCTATTACTAATATGGCAAGCTCTAGAAATCTAATTGGACAATCAAAAATAATAATTTAAAGTTTTTGTTGTGGGTTTTTTAATAGTAAAGGATGGGAAATGAACCAAACTGTCCAGTAAATTAAAATAAAGGAAATATTTTAACAGTTATAGACCCTTCGATCATTACAAAATCTGATAATTCAGTGTAGAAACTTCCAGCTATATTACCGCATTTATCTTAATCAACATTTAGCAAATACATGAGTTAGCTTCACCAAGTTAATCTGAATTAAACACTATTTGAAAGAGAGGCAGGTGTAGCATTAATTCCTAATTTCTCATAACCATACCGAGCTGTCTGAAGAGCTGCGCCACGGTGCTGCCGCTGACAGGAAGTGCGTCATCGATGGGCGTCTGGATGACTTGCCGGTCGCCAGCACCTAATGTGATCGTTCTCTACGGGTCGAGAGAGAGGGAGAGAAAAGAAGGGTTTAAAGGGGAGGTGAGAAACCCAGAGAACATCGGGTACTTCTACTTCATATTCCTTTTTTTAAATCAGGGGTTGAGAGTGAGGTGTAATCACAGGTGAGCGTCTGGAGAGCAGCGTGAGGCAGCCACAGAGTGACGGAGGATCCCAGAAGCTTAGCAGGTACATCACAAATAAAACACACAAGCCATTCCAGCTGATCAGCACCACCTGATCCACGAGTCTTTAGGCCACACGGCAGGTGTCATGCGCTTGAGATTTTCCACGGCAGTGTAATGTAAGCGCGGGTGGAAAGCAGATTGATCAGAGGGAAGCTGTACGGATGATTCATTTCGGGCCGTGAAGCGTGTCCTGGAGGAAAACGTACTTCTAGAAAAGGTTGGAAAGTGTCTTTGTGTAAAAGCACAGATGCTGCTTATTACATGGATGTAATCCTGGATATCTGGTATCACTACACTGTGTCTGATAACTACCATTAACCAAATTGACTTGAAGTTGACTCTGCTCCAGACAAAACCAATCAATATTGACTCGTGTGGTTTGGATTAAAAACCTGAGAGGAAAGGGGAATCATTTGAATGTAAATCAATAGAATATGAGCATAATAATACAGCATGGCAGCACGACATGATGCCGTTCCGAAGCACGATCACATGACACCCGGTCACAGTATACCTTGTGCACAGGATTTCTGATAAACATGCTATTTGACCCTAGAATGTGCAAGAATAAAATGTCAGGTAATGCTTTATAAACCCTCGTTTTGCACAAGTAATGGCCAAATAAAATCTGGGTTTTAAGATAATGAAATATCCCAGACCTTGATATGAAATGACTTCTCCTGGACTATTTTGAGCAGCAGTAAAAATCAGAGGTGTTTTTCTAATCTGTATCTTGCCAGATGCTTCACCATTGTTCCCAGTCAGGGTGGCTGTGTGCAGCTGGGAGGTGGAGGTCAGTGCAGCTTTATTTCATGCTCTCTACAGCAGAAGCAGGAGCAGCAGCAGCAGCAAACAGAGGCGAGCAACTCAATCCTGTGATCCAACATCTGATTATTAGCTGTGTTGTTATTCATCGTTTGGCTTTATTTATTTAAAGTACTTTTAAATTATTATTTAAAAAATCTGAAATTGCTGTTTTCTGCTTCTCAAATTTGGTGATTTTTATGGATTTATTTTCTCTGTTTTATAGTTTCAAATAAAGTAAATATCTCTAGGTATGGTCCGATAACAAGACTCTTATGGCGCGTTTCCACTACAGCGCGGAGCACGGTTTAAGAGGGCTGTGACGTCAGCGGCCCGTCTTTGGTTGCGTTTCCACTTGGCCTAGTACCGGCCGGCGGGTCCTAATTCACAGTTTTTCTGGCCTCATAAAATCGTGGGTCTAGGGCCAGAGACAACGAGGCTGAGTCGGGCTGAGTATGCTAAACTAGAGAGAGCGTCGCTGGCAAGGGGGCTACAACTACAACAAGATGGACATATTTGACCGTGATTTAATTGTAATACACGTTTCAAAATGATGCCGAAGTAACAACATACTGATACCGGTTAGTAAAAACCATGAATTAATGCTTTGACAAGTCTGCAGACAGACGGCAGGCGAAAAACCTTTTAAAATGCTTGTTTTCTAAATGGAGATTGGCTAAGCTAACGCAGTATATGCTCCGACCGTCCACACTCACAACAACGGCCTATACAGACATAAATAAACCAGCGACTGTACTCGCCATGACACAGGCAGTCTGTGGTTTGTACTTGTTTCACTTTTGTCTAGTTTCTGAACATATATGAGGAGCTGTGAGCTCTGAGTGCTAACAGCTAACGGCTGTGTTGTTTTTCTGGGGTTCGCATTGAAGATGACGTCACGGCTCCGCCTACACTGCGTTACTATAGATACTACCCCAGTTCCTAAACTGTAATGGGAATGCGCCATAAGGTGAGCCAGTCCTAACGAGGCCTAGCCATACCGAGCGAGGCCGTGTAGTGGAAACGCGCCATTAAAGACCTTGAAACAGGGATGTACGTTTGACACTATTTACTAAAACCATGTATTACTGATAATGTATATCTAATGCTAACAAAGGCTAAACGGGAAGGACACAGTTATGAAAAACAACTCCAAGTTGATTGGACACCATTAACTTACACCTTATATTGATTCAATGGGAGACGGTTGAGATGTTATAGGACCTTAATGATCAGTTGTTGGTCACATATTGAGTTTGCATCAAAGCGTTTTGATTGGTTCTCCTGCAGTGAGGAGGCGTGTGTGGACCGGCTGAGGGGGGATGGTGACAGAAAAAAGGAAGCTACGATTGGTAAAGAGAGGAGAATGAAGTCAGGCCGGCGTACCAAACTCTCCTCCGTCTCCTCCTGGCCCGGCTACACACACCATCACACACACACACACCATCACACACACCCCCCAGGATAAGACACAGGTTAGAAACAACAGGAGGGAGGGCACAGAGAATCCTGGCTGAACAACGATGAGGCGATAATGTCTTGCAGGGCAAAACAAGGAAGCTGCACAAACATGAACTGCACGATGACGGCTGTGTACAAAAAAAACAGTTACATCGGACACACACACACACATGCAAAACAAAGTGTTGTGTGTATTGGCATTCAGCAGCACAATAACAGCAACAGATGAGTTTCATGACATTCTACTTCTTAATAAACAACAGGAGACATGTTAGGCTGATCCATCATATAGTCTGTAGAGGGGGGTATGCAGATTACATGTACTTGACCACACACACACACGCACACCGCCTCGTTGCACATTATCCCACTTATAACAAATACAGTGCCAACTTGACTCACAATATTTAAATGATTGTACTTTTCTTCTGCTAAGAAGAAATCAATTTGAAGAATTTCAGTCCAGCCCTTATATATATATATAATTATTAAACACAGCTTACGAATACTCGATTCTGATTGGTCAATTTGGACATTCAAGCGGTCTGTTAATTCTTGCTAACAGACCGTTGCTAGGGAGGATCAAGGGACTATGTGCAGCCATATCAATCCGCGGAAAGAAGTCCGGTCGATTTAACGTTATCTGTGCACAACAAACATTAGTTTTCCTCCATCACGAAACACCGTGGAATATATTTTGAATATTCATTTTTGTATTTGTGGAGAGCAGAACACTTTGGACTTGTGTTTTTAAGTATGTATTGTATGCCCCTTGTAGCAGTTTGGGGTTGCTTTTATTAACAAAAGGTGCTTTACAAATCAAATGAATTATTATTATTATTACTACTACATCAGGGTTGTCCAAACTGCGGCCCGTTGCCCATTTTTAATAGGCCCTCAGCAAACTCTTAAAGTATAATGGAATATGGCCCACACCTGAAACTAAGCTTGTCTTATACTGTACTTCTTAAATATATCTAAAAATATATTACATGTGTTAATGAGCCCATACATTCAGTCAAATAAAGATGAGAACATTTTCTAACAAATCTTAGCTGAGACAAAAAGCCTATTTGCAAAAACAAGCTTGAAATAGACCCTTCATATTTCCACTTATTATTAGCAATCTGAGGCTTCTGCTTTAAGGGATGAGCTGCCAACACAATACATGAAACCCTCTGGAGAGCTGTGATGTAGGCTGTTAAAAGCATCATCAATTATCAAATATTGATTGATTTAGCTAACTTATAACTTAACTTATGAGGCAATATATCTCTAGTGAGAGTTTTGACACCCCCGCCTTACATATTAGGGCTGAACTGAATTTCTTTAAATGAAGGTTTACTTGTATTCCTCTGAGACACATAAGAATAATACAGATACTCTAACCTGCTGAGTAATATAACGCTACGTATTTTTAGTGTTACCATGACTAATGTCTAGTGGAAGAGATACATTCACTGTCACATTGCTCGAGTTATTGTGAGTGTGAGTGTGAGTGTGAGTGTGTGTGTGTGTGTGTGTGTGTGTGTGTGTGTGTGTGTGTGTGTGTGTGAAAGTAATGACAGACATTTAGCGAGGCTGATAGAAGTCCCGTGTGATTTAACGGTGGCAGGAATGTGTGTAAGTGTGTGTTGCTGTGTGCTTAGTGTTAGAGACACAGAACTGTTTGTCCTTAAAGGGATAGAAGCAGGCGTCAAGAATCAGTGTGCGTGTACACGAGTGTGTGTTTGATTGAGACAAACTGGGAGTGTGTGACTCAATGAGTGTTTGTGTTTTCACATGTGCATAAGACTCGTCTGTATGAAAACTGATAAGATCCGATCCTATCATTCAGCCACTGTGCCGGCCGCTAGGAAGCCATCTGCCGCTCCATATGGTCGCACAACAACTCAAATACAACCTGTGTGTGTGTGTGTGTGTTTTTTGTTGGACTGTTTTTTATTTTATACCTCTTAATGTGTGTATATATGTTTACTTAAGTGGGTGTTCAGGTGTGTGTGTATGTATGTATTAGCATATGTATATTCTTATTCTTGGGGACAGTGAGAAACAGAATTCTTATCTCCGCGGCGATAACGTTGACTTTGACTTTTGACAATCATTGTTTTAAAAGGCGTTTTTACAGCTGCAACAACTCCGGTTTATGACAAATATAAGGGATGAAAAAAGTGAAATGTTTCAAATGATGTGTGGAAACTGTTTCGGTCACAAAACAAACAAAAAAAGCAGCTTAAAAATAGATCAAGCGCCATCAATCACGCATGATTTGAACTGAGTGCAAGAACAAAAACATATTCCTCAAAAGGAAAAAACGACATCCAGGCTGTTATCAGAATCAATAACATTGAGCTGGTTGTTGATTGGTGAAGCCGAGCGGGAGTTACCTGGAGACAGGCCAGCAGCCAATCACACGCCTGAGGAACCTTTACTAAACTACAAACTGGAGCCTCCTCTGTCTGTAACACAGAGGAACCAGCGCACAGAGGGGTGTAAATCACACACACGTTATAACATCTGGAAAGCACAGTCAACCCATGTGCATCTGGAGAAAAATAGACCCTTCCTTCTTATGTGTGCACACCATGAACATGAATGTTTACTTGGAAAAAAAGCAGATTCTGGAGATATTGTAAAAGAAAAAAAACATGATTTGAACAAAAAATATGAGAAAAACACAGAAAAAAGGGAGAAATATTAAGAAAAATGTTTAAATAAATGAATAAATGTTGACTTATCTGGTAAGTATCCAAAGATATCAACACAAAAACAACACTAGAACAAGTATTAATCTAAAAAATAACACAAACTCAAACATATTTGTTTAGTTAATTAATAGAAGGACTGTTGTTTTCTTATAAGGTCATGCTGTTATGCAACACTAAGAATCCACAAAAAAGGCAATGTGTTTTCGAAAGATGTGAAATAAGCGATAAATGAAAAGACAATTTGCTTAAACGTCCACTCAAGAGTGTGTTTACAAGACAGCAGGGGACTCTGGGACGGCTGCAAATCCAGCTCTAACCCGTCACTCTGGAGATTCATCAATTATTCAATAACGCATGCACGGAGAAATGTGCAGGCACTTAAGAAGCAAACTACTCGAGCATATTCATTGTTGCTCTACACGTATACAGTACATATAAGCATGAGGGTGCCTGACAGCTAATACTTTGTACCAAACTAACACTGATGCAAGTTCAGCGATGGCTGCAGAACATGCTGTATTACCGCCGGCTGAAGAAGCTCCACTGCTGAGCAACGCAAAAAAGGAGAGAATCCCACCTGGCAAAGCATAGGAAATGAAATTGGAGGAGGGGTGATACACCAGGTTTCAACACCAAATCAGGACTTCTGCCTTCGTAGGGCAGTGTGTGAAGGTGTGTGTGTGTGTGTGTGTGTGTGTGTGTGTGTGTGTGGGTGTATGTGTATGTGTATGTGTGTGTGTGTGTGTGTGTGTGTGTGTGTGTGTGTGTGTGTGTGTGTGTGTGTGTGTGTGTGTGTGTGTGTGTGTGTGTGTGTGTGTGTGTGTGTGTGTGTGTGTGTGAGGAAAGAGATGAGCAGTTACCTGAGATCCTCCAGCGATGGGGATGATACATGTGAGGAGATTTCCAACCACCGTTTCCATGGGGACAGTGAGGCCATCTACGTGGACGGTGTAGATCAGACCCAGGCAGTTCTGTTCAATTAAAGCAGAGGGGGAAATTAAAAAACAAAAAAAAGCATGTCACTGTTGAATGTCATATCTACTAAAAATGACACGATGCATCGGCTGCCTTTATTATTTAGAGATTTGTTTTGAGTGTAACTTGGTGCAGTTACTTTATAGAAAATGTTTAATTATGAGCATTGATTCAAATGTTGTGTTGAAGAAAAGTGTCAATTATAGGAAATTTGGCGAGTAAGAGTCCGGAAATTGCAATTATTCCACTATAATTGTATACTTGTATGTATATACTAAAACAGGGTATATGCAGGAATCCTGAAGTCAAATGTAATACCTTTTAAGACCCTTTCCATACATTTTAAGACCTCATCGGGTTAGGTTATTATATTTATATTTAACATATGCATAATTATCCATATTTGGATCGATGTAAACACCTTTAACTTAGATGTATCCTGTTACTTACATTTAGCTGTTGCTGCAAAGACACTTGAATTTCCCTACAATCTTACCTTACAGTGATAGACATTAACATTAATGTTCTTACAGATGAATTTCATCTGTTGCCCTCAGGGCGTTGATACGCTCTACCTGCTCTTAAAGGGGACCTATCATGCAAAATGCACTTTTTGATGTCTTTTATACATCAACATGTGTCCCCGGTGCGTCAGGGAACTCACGCAGCGTCAGAAAATAAAACCCTCTCTCTTTTCCTCCGTACCCAAATCTCTAAAAACGGGGCTACAACGGAGCTGATCCAGATGTGCGTCCGATATGACGTAATATCTGAAATGTGGACCCACGGCCCTATCAGAAACGTTGCTATCAGAAACAATGCCCGACTGTTTTGGACGTAATATGGTCGGTGTTTACATTAGCATCGCTAACACTCAGAGCTAACCTGTACTGGAGAGCATGTGTGTGAAGAAGCAGGAAATAAAAAGGAACTCACCTTGAGGTATAACCGGCAAGAGAGAAAGCCTTTGAGCTCCATACTGTTTCAGAAAGAATCCTTGATAATCCATGATATGGCGTTTCATCACGGCAGTATTTAGTTTAGACAGTAGCTGCAGGGTCCCGCATGAGCTCAGACCCCTCCTTTTTTCTTTTGTATCAATTTGTATTTTTTTAAAGCTTTATACTTCAAATCAGCACTTTTGAAACAGGAAGTGAAATAGAGGGATATGAGGCATGGCTAGAATGGGTGATCTGTTTGGTATTTTGAGCAAAACACTTTATAGACATGTTTTTTATATATTTGTATATATCTGAGACCTATGCTATTGCCTAAAAATAGCATGATAGGTGACCTTTAAGACAAATCGCTTTTCAAAATCAGTCATCCCCTCTGCACTCAAACCTTTAAATTCTTGATTATTTTAACATGATTATTGATTTACTTATTTATTTTGATGCTATGAACTATTTATGGTGTAAATTGGAATGATCCACATCCAGGCTCCCGGGTGTATCTGGGTGCTTTCTTCCTGTTCCTGCCTGTGTACATGACATAAGCTGCTCACAACCAATTGCCCCTTGCGGGATTAATACAGTTGTTGATTGATTGAGTGGCTGTAGAAGTAATCAAATATAATAATAATTCATTCTATTTAGAAGCGCCTTTCAAAGGACACCTTACAATTCATAAAATATTCAAAGGAAAGGTTTAAGACGGTACAAAAGGACCGTACAGGGAACATGTAGCACTACAGTGAGTAGGCTGATCTAATCTGATCTAATACAAAACAAAGTTGTATTATTATTATATGTTGGATGTGTCCCTGAACGTACCCTGAACACCTCGGTGTAGTCCAGGCGGGACACCAGCACCAGGCTCTTTGGGGCGAAGACCTGAGCGGCTCTGACGACGGAGAGATCGTCCTCCACCTCGTCCGCCTCGCTGGTCTCAGACTTCAGCAGCTGATCAGAGACACAGATCATCATCAGGCCAACAGTAACACTTTCAAACAAACAAAATGATATAGCGTGTGGGAGTGATGCAGCAAAAAAGACACACATTTATTTCAAAATAGCCGTTTGGCAGTGATGGTAGGTGAAACACTTCAACGATTGTATAACACATTGCATTTCATTAATTCAGATACATATTGCCCACTTGGCTGAGTCGATCTGAACTCCACAACCCAAACCCGAAATTCAACTTACATTTTAGTGCATAGTTATAGTGCATAAAAAACATGTTAGCCTTCTGGCCATGCTTGTGCTTTGGAGATAAGTTGCAAGACTTATATTGCAGTTTAAAATGAGGCATCACAAAGTAAAATGAGGGGGATTAAGAGCTTATAAATGCACAGAGACACAGATCACTATCCTGCCCACGTTAACCCTTTAAACTGTTTACACACGAAACGAAAACGATATATCGTGCGGGAGTGATGCTATTCCAGCATCAGAGCAGATACATATGGCCCATCATCCTTTCAGACGGTTCTTAAAATAGTGACCTTTCATCCAAATCACTTTATTCTCATTACAATTGACTATAACATTACCCAATTCTTCCAATAATTGTAAAACTTTCTGAAACTTGGAAAAATGTTAAAATTATTTGTAAATGTCCCCTAATTTTTGTGAAATATTCAAACTTGCTTTGTTCATGTTTTATTGCCTAAAACTGGGGTGTAGTGCATAAAAGACAAGTTAGCCTTCTGCCTACTTTAGCCATGCTTGTGCTTTTTAACATGAGTTGCAAGACTTATAGAATACAGCATATTTAGTTAGTAAGGCAAGGTAAGGCAAGGCAAGGCAAGTTTATTTATATAGCACCTTTCAACACAAGGCAATTCAAAGTGCTTTACAAAAATGGAAGACATTAAGAAAATGGCATTTAATAATAATAGTAATAGTAATACTGCTTTAACTCTGTCAAGGTGTTTGACACAAAGCCTTCTTCATACCACCACTGTGCCATCCTTGAAAAACACAATTTCTTAAGTTTTGACAATTTTAAGTCTTTTAACAGTATGTGTTTTATTTATAAATGTTTGCATGGACTGCCCCCCCCCCCCCTCCCTTAGGGGAATTCATCCACAGAAAAGACACTGGACGCTGCACTAGGTCAGAAACCAGAGGAGACTGTGAAGTCCACCGCAGACGGACCACTTTTGGACAAAATGTACTTTCCATCAAAGGCAGCTCATTGTGGAACAGCCTCCCAACTGAGATACGGGATTGTCCCACTCTCAATAGTTTCAAAGGTCAACTCAAAGAATGGTTGAGAAACAACCAGACGTGTAATCACCGCTAAATGCACTTTAACACAGGGGTATCTTCTCTCGCACTCTATATGTCGTAGCTGCTATATTGTAATACCATGTGATAAATACTTATGTATGCTGCTCTTGCTCTCTTGCACTTTTTGCATATTATGTATTTTGTTTTTGCTATGTTTGAAAATGTAATTTTCTTATGGATGGAAATGAGCTCAAAGCTAAATCTGGCACTGTTACGCTTGACACATTTTATATGTTTTAAGTGTTCATCACTGTGCATTGTCCCTGCCAAATAAACGATTACAATAAAATGTAATTAAAAAACTCAACCATGTCCCTTTTTTTCTTTCTCAAATGACACTTTTGTGAGTTGGTTCCATTACCCTCTACCAAAGGTTGCCTCTTGTAAGCTATGCACACACTTCAGAGAGGATTTGATGGTCACTTTACACAGGTAAAAATGAGGCATCAAAGAGTAAAGCTGGGGGGGTTAAGAGCATATAAATGCATGTTTTCTGCAAATTGTCCTAATTCAATTCACTCATGCTCACCTGTGGGTTGTCCAGGCCCTCCCAGAAGGTGAAGCAGGCACAGTAGTGACGCTCAGAGTTGATGTCGGTCAAAACCGCCACGAAGAAAGAAGCAGGCTGTCGCTCAGGATACAGCTGCCAACCAGTGGGCTGACAGAACTGAGGAGGAGGAAGCGGGACATTAATCAGATGGTGATGGTGTAAATACCAACATGGGTGACGTATCAGACAGCATTCAGTCACATGACCTCACAGCACCTCAGGCTGATTCGTCCAGGCTGTTATTAACACAACAAAACAGGTTGTGAAACGTCCACTTTCGCAATATCACCTGACGGAACGATCTGAAGAGCCATGGAGGTACATGATTCTAATTTTCAGGTGTATATCAGTATGTAGTGTCTCTACTTTAAAGAGTCCTCTCCTGCTGATGTTCAGATGTATATCAGTATGTAGTGTCTCTACTTTAAAGAGTCCTCTCCTGCTGATGTTCAGGTGTATATCAGTATGTAGTGTCTCTACTTTAAAGAGTCCTCTCCTGCTGATGTTCAGGTGTATATCAGTATGTAGTGTCTCTACTTTAAAGAGTCCTCTCCTGCTGATGTTCAGGTGTATATCAGTATGTAGTGTCTCTACTTTAAAGAGTCCTCTCCTGCTGATGTTCAGGTGTATATCAGTATGTAGTGTCTCTACTTTAAAGAGTCCTCTCCTGCTGATGTTCAGGTGTATATCAGTATGTAGTGTCTCTACTTTAAAGAGTCCTCTCCTGCTGATGTTCAGGTGTATATCAGTATGTAGTGTCTCTACTTTAAAGAGTCCTCTCCTGCTGATGTTCAGGTGTATATCAGTATGTAGTGTCTCTACTTTAAAGAGTCCTCTCCTGCTGATGTTCAGGTGTATATCAGTATGTAGTGTCTCTACTTTAAAGAGTCCTCTCCTGCTGATGTTCAGGTGTATATCAGTATGTAGTGTCTCTACTTTAAAGAGTCCTCTCCTGCTGATGTTCAGGTGTATATCAGTATGTAGTGTCTCTACTTTAAAGAGTCCTCTCCTGCTGATGTTCAGGTGTATATCAGTATGTAGTGTCTCTACTTTAAAGAGTCCTCTCCTGCTGATGTTCAGATGTATATCAGTATGTAGTGTCTCTACTTTAAAGAGTCCTCTCCTGCTGATGTTCAGGTGTATATCAGTATGTAGTGTCTCTACTTTAAAGAGTCCTCTCCTGCTGATGTTCAGGTGTATATCAGTATGTAGTGTCTCTACTTTAAAGAGTCCTCTCCTGCTGATGTTCAGGTGTATATCAGTATGTAGTGTCTCTACTTTAAAGAGTCCTCTCCTGCTGATGTTCAGGTGTATATCAGTATGTAGTGTCTCTACTTTAAAGAGTCCTCTCCTGCTGATGTTCAGGTGTATATCAGTATGTAGTGTCTCTGCATGTCTCCATGCTTTAATGTTCAAAAAGCTCTTTATTGTTCTCATACTGCCTGTGCTGCAGCACCTCTTTTCACCCTCTGTCTGAAACCAGAGCCCAGTCTGCTCTGATTGGCTCTGTTGTGATTAAAGCTGTCCCTCCCCTTAGCTTATCACGTCCAATGTGTTGGAGAGTTTATTTTCTACTTGTTGTAAAGCACTTTGAAATGCCTTGAGTTGTACTACATAAATAAATATGCCTTGCGCGTAACAATCCTTGTTTCTCAATCAGTCCTCATTTTCTTTACGTGTTTTCTTGCATCTACGAATAAAATGAGCTGCCCGGGAAATGTAACCCCTCACCCCGACATTGCCTTGTTTAACCCTCTGTTATACACTTGACCATTATGTGTCTCTAAGTGTTGACTTACCAGCTCCACGCCCTGTGGGAAGGGGCTGTCCTCCCAGTCTTTCTCAGGAAACCGCTGGAGAATGCGACCTTGACCTTCACCCTCGACGGCTGAGAGACAAACACAGAGGTTAGAGTGTGTTATTTAGACTGTTTGTTGTCTGATTGTTCCCCTAAATAAGCTCTCTTACTGATTGTGTTTCTTTCAGAGATTGGTTTACAGACTGCAAGCGAGGAAAAGCTACTGAACGACAAAAGCAGGGTAGCTGCCAGACTTTTAATGCACTAGAAAACTTGCCAACGTACCAACATTATAACTGCAAAGGTAACAAATAATTTCAGATCATTTTCCTGTGTGTTTATTGTCAGGTTGGTCTTTTATAAAAGGAGTACATTTCTTCCTGTTCAACAGTAGAGGGATGTGTTAAAAAGCCTATTTGCTGCATGTTAATGAGGCCATTTCCCCTGTTGGCCCGGGCCACAGTAACACAATGACACGACAAAGACCGACTTATGCAACCAGCACAAGCCTGTCTTTCAGCCGCGTTCAGACTGCTTAATGGCAGCATTCATCCTCACACAGAATACACTTATCCTCCTCGTACAGGGGATGTAAATCGAGCATTAAACTTACAAAATTCCCAAATACTATCACCAGCATTGTGACTAAACCTTGGAGCTGCCTGAGAGAACTCAAAGGCCTCTGGGCTTTTTTCTAAGGGAACTTAAACAGAGGCACCGTAGACAAAACACAAACAGAAAGTAGGCCAGCTCCCAAAACACACAGCCCGTTGCAGAAGTCACGCCTTCTTTAACCCTCCCGTTTTTAACTCTGACCCTGTTGCTGCTATTAACGCCTGAAAATCGTATCAGATCTTATATGTGGACCGGTGTGTGGTGTTCTGGCTGTTTGTGACTCCTCGTGCTGAAGCATGTTGTGCAGACGGAGGTTTTAAAAAAAAAAGCAGTGCATGTGTTAGCTGTCACGTTCTGTAATATTATGTTGTCAGAGGATGACGAGCTGTAGGTGTGTCAGTCTGTCAGTCAGGCGCACACACACACACACACACACACACACACACACACACACACACACACACACACACACACACACACACACACACACACACACACACACACACACACACACACACACACACACACACACACACACACACACACACACACACACACACACACACACACACACACACACACACACACACACACACACACACACACACACACACACACACACACACACACACACACACACACACACACACACACACACACTTTTACTGGCTGCTATCTCTTAGTTAGACAATTCAACTGCTGTAACACAATCTGTAAAAAGAACTGTGCAATATATACTTTTATTTTCATTATCTGTCATGCTACACTTATTTTATTACATGTTACTGTACTTATTGTTGTCCAGTTAAGTGGGTACCTTTTGTAAAGTTTAATTTCTATATGTAATATTTTATGCAGGACTCTTGATTATTATTTTTGCCTCTTTGCTTTTGCTCTAACAATGTTAATTGTAAAGTTATTCTGGTTGTGATCTGCTTGGTGAGACACGTAGTTTTCTCACCACCACAGAAACAAGCCATATGTTGGATGCATTAAGTGTGTCCTTGTTGCAAGAGGCTCATTTCCCCTCCAGTCTGATTACGGGAAGGATGTGTGCCGGCCTAGAAAAGAAAGGAATCTATGGAATATAAACACGACTTAAATGCTTCCTAAGGACCTTACAAAACCAGCAATTACTCAGAGAAATTAGAAGGAACGGAGCAAAAATAGTGACTGTGCCATAACGCTAACAAATCATCACAACCACAGCACGGAGCAACTCATCATAACGGTCAATAATATTTTACTTATTAGTGTACCATCCCTGCTGACAGAAGCCTGAGAATATCCCGATATCGATTTCAGAGCCTGAGCCAACTAGCTCATAAAACTGAAATGAAATGGCAAGCCTTAGGGATGTCCCGATCACCTTTTTTTGCTCCCGATCCGATTCCGATCATTTGATTTTGACAATCTGCCGATACCGATTTTTCCCGATCCGATCTTTATGCAATGCATTAAGAGAAAAAAAAAGGAGAAAAGCATTCAAGTTGTCCCTTAAACCCCACGTTCTCCACCACAGATAAGAGCTGGTCATCCAACGCGATGAATTCAGCTATCTTGGCTGTTATTGTTTTGGCCTTTTCACTGTTCTGGGGCAGTTTTTCTTTCCTTTTAAAAGTCTCTGAAAGTGTCGGTTGTTTCAGTGCCGTTACCTGAGTGGCCGCTGTGTACTCGTTGTGTTGTTGTTGGTGTTTGTTTCTCAGGTGGCGTATTAGATTGGTCGTGTTGAACGTAGCTCTGTTCTTTCCACCACGCGGAACCTCCGCCTTGCAAACATTGCATCTGGCTGTTACACTGCCTTCGCTTTCAATTTTATAATACTTCCAAACTCCTGACATTTTCTCTGTCCCGACTCCCGAGGCACCAGCTGAACGTAGCCTCTCGTTAGCTTACTGCTACTATTAGACACTGCGCCCACTCTGTTGCCAGATTTAAGAGAAATAAGCAACCAGGTCTATGAAAACAAGCCCATAATAAGCAACACATACATGATGTTGTGTAATTTTAAACCAAAACTAAGGCCTCAGGATGACTTTAAGACGTGAACATGGTCATTTTTGTTTTGTAACATTAAATAAAATAAGAAAAATATTTTATTAAAAAAAAAAAAAAAAAAATCCGATCCCCGATTTTTTTCTCCCGATTCCGATCTTTTGAAAATCACGTGATCGGGGATCGGGACATCTCTAGCAAGCCTGTTACCTCACGGGCTAATCCACCAATCAACTGAGAGCTAAAGCAACCTTTGCATGTAGCAGGTCAGCAGTTTTTTAAAGATGGGAAATCACTGTTATCTGTATCACACACTGATACCGTATCACATTATCATAATGGGATCCAGCTAATTGTGATACATATGTAATAATTATTCTGCTTAATTGGATTATACCTCTCACATCATGCTGCAAACTCAGTAAGGGCGGTGGTGGCGAAGTCCATAGGGACTTGGCTTGGCAACTGGAAGGTCACCAGTTCAATTCCCAGAAAGACTGAGTGCTACCGAGGTGTCCCTGAGCAAGGCACCGTTCCCTACACTGCTCCCCGGGCGCCGTACATAATGGCAGCCCACTGCTCCTAACACTAGGATGGGTCAAATGCAGAGAAACCGTTTCGTTACATAGAACCATGACAATAAGTTGAATCTTCAATCTTAAACAATAGGAGGGTATTTGATAATGATGATAATGATGAATGTCTCCAACCTCGTGAAAAATTGGCCACATTTCTCTTATTTTTCTGCAGCGTAGTAATCAGCAGCGAACCGCTTCAACACGTGTATTTCGGTTTATTCACGGCATTCATTTTGTTATTCTACACTCAGTATTGTTGATTTATAGTTATTTGTTAATGTATCTAACCCAATTTGTGTTCTTTTCAATTGAAAAGGATATTGCATTGTGTTTGTTACTTTCGTTGCAGTTGTATATGTCTTAACGGACCGTCCACACAGCAGCGTTAAAAAATCTTGAAACGTTTCTGCCCATTCACTTTGAATGGGGTGACGTCACTTTGCCTCACTTTTCGCCGAACTGCATTGTGGGAAGCAGAGGGGAGATTTTCAGGATTTTCAGGATTCAAAGTTGAGCAATGTTCAACTTTTGAAGCTGAGGTGGAAGCGTCAGCCAATCAAATCCCGTGTATGCAAATCTGACAGTTCATGCGCTAGCCAATCAAACCGCGTGTGGAGGAGAAATTAGCGGTAGGGAATCACCCGGTGCTTTATGACCAGTCCCTATTTACCTACCGGGATACAAACCGGAGGAGCCAGGCATGGAGGGAGGTGGCAGAGACAGTGGTATGTTTTCGCCTGTTTGGGGAGTTTATATCCAGTTTACTTCAAACTTTTTTGCTTCGTATGTCGGGGGCGGGAGATTCATGTGATTGGTTGTTGGTCGCGTTGCTCGCAAAAAATCCCCAAGCTTCAGATACGCCCACCTCCAAGATTTTTTTAACGCTGCTGTGTGGACGCTCCGTAAGTGTAATTTGGCTTGGCTTCCTATTTTGTATGGACATGCTTTTATTTTGAAGGAGAGTTAGCGCTGTTGACAGGAAGTAGTTGTTGTTGCTATGGAAACAACGTGACGGAGATTAACGGAGAAAAGTCATATCTACATATAAGGACGGAGAAAGTAAACGACAACGTTTATGGTTAAGTGTTAGCACCCCCCGAAGAGGCACAAGCTCTTACGTTGATATTGGAGATTTCAATCAATTCAATTTTTTTCAAAAAAAAAAGAATATCCGAATAACGAAATTGAAACCCGAATAGTAGTCCAACGAACGAATATTCGGGTACGGCCCTAATTCAACAAGCGTCTCACCTCTAATCAAGCTCTCACTTCTGTCACTGTAGTAAAGGCTTGAGTCACACAAACCAACATCATCAAACACTTTATCTCACTGAGCTGATGACATGTTTGCCAGGAAGTGCAGGAACACACTCACCATCAAAACTAAGCACATAAAGTTATCAGTAGTGTTCAGTGAGCATGCAACAGATGCTATCAAGGGGATAGGGGGGGGAATGTGAGCAGAGTTCAGTGGCATCACAGGAATGTGTGACATCCAACTATCAGCTGGATCGGTTGCCTAACAACAACAACAGGTTATTACTCCGTTCCATCTGAGGCGGGAACTGTTGCATCGTTTACATCCATAGACTTTTTGTCACCAGCTTGTTTTTGCTTTCTTTTTCTGGTTCCCTCCTCCAGCCTATCTCCAACTCAGGATGTAAACATAAGCTGTATGGCAGGTTTTGATCCGTGCATCTTGGGTTATTTGCTCCTGGAAAGCCTGTCGTTGCATGTCTTGTTTTGAATTACTGACATTGCATTCACACACAACTGCACATTTACATTCTAACAACTGTCAGATGTATAGGTTTATATTATACTGCAGATAACACTGCACTTTACTACTTATTTTGTACTTCTGGTTGGATAATAACTGCATTTCGTTGTCCTAATACTTGT